CTTTTTTATAAAGTTCCATGACCATGTATTAATGTTATACCTTCTTGTTCATCTCTTTGATCACATCATTATTATTGTTTGGTAAATGATTTTTAGTAGAAATGGTTATATTTCCTATTTCAATGTGTAAACTGGCAACAATTTTACTTTTTTTCTGCAACAACAGTATTATTATTTGTTAATTGGAAAAGTTTTTTTGCATCCTCAGCTACTTCTGGTGCATACATTTCAGATCTCAATAGTATAAAGCTTTATCTAATTCATTCATCAATCAATCATTTCATTTATTCATTCATTCACTCATTCTTCTTTTGGCTCATTCACACGCACCAGGAACAACTCTTGGATCACAAATCACTGACAAGGGGGAAAACTTTTTCCCAATACACTTTTGACTCCTACACTTCCATAACCTTATTTGTATTTAGAACCACCTGCATATAAAAATGAGGTGAGTTTTGGGTGCCAATTGGTGATATTGGTATACCAACTCTGTAACCTGCTGGATTATATGCCTTGTCAAGTTTATTTATAACATCCCTAAACACAAGCAAAATGTCTGATTATTCTTGCCTAGTTATTTCTTCAAAGATACCAGCATGGCATTTGGTACATATTGATACATGACCTTTAGAGTTTGCTCTTAAAACTACCCCAGCAGTAATGCCACCTCCTAAATCAGAAACTTGACTTTTAAGCATTCCTTTTTTATTTAGTTACATTTTGTCACACATATGGCAAACTATTTCACTCCCTTCTGCACTTTTTGGACAAATATAACTGCCATTGGTCTCCCATTAAATTAACTAATCCTAGGTTATATATAACAAAAATGTTATATTCTATCATTTAGGAATGAATCATATCTTAACATATCTCTTTTTTTAATGAAAGAACATAAGGAAAAGAAAATAATCATAACTGTTTTTTGCAAGTATCACTCAGAAATTGTGTTACTCATTAGGAGTTTTTATGCATGTTTGTGCATGTCAGTACTTTAAAATAATTGAAATTAAATGTAATACAATATAAATTCATATATCACAAATGATCATCACATTTTTGATATAATCAAATTTCCACCATGTTTGTAGTTGAATGATTTGTCACACTAAATGGTTGGGAATAAGGTTTCTGGTCCAAACTGTTTTCTCAAAGCCCAAACTAGTTTGGGTAATTTGGGCTTCTTAACATTTTTTATAAGCATGAACATTAAAAAACTATACGAAACAACTTGTTTTAACTTAAACAACTTTAAAATAATTTCACCCAATTTTGGCTAATAACAAAAAGTAGTTTGGGCTTATAAAAAAAATAATTTTTGCCCAAAGTATTTGGGCAATTTCGGCTACTAATAGAAGCAGTTTCGACCAGAAACCTTAATTGGAATCAGGTAAATTATTATAGTTATTGTGAATAATATCATTGTTATTAGATAAATCATTATCATCTTTGATATCATTGATATTAGAGAAGTTTTGTTGATCTTCATTATCAACATTATTAATGTCATTGATATCATCATAATCGTCAAATAAGTTTGTTTACTCTTAGACAACTTGAAAATGTAACATTGATTTTTTGGTCCAATAATGCCATCTCTATTTTCATCATTAGCATTCATATAATTAATGAATATATTTTTTTCATTGTAATCTCGAAAATGAATATGATCCCATCTAGAATCTGAAAATTTTATTAGAAATTATTATAAACCAATTTGAAATATCAATATGACAATACTTGCTTTTCTTTCTTTTTTTTAAAATATGTCAGAAGCTTAATTGTAATCCACACCTAATCCAATCTCCAATTAATGTTTTAGATACGTGAAAGTTAGATTTAGACTAGGATGATGACAAATGGTAATAACCTATTCTTTTTAAATAAATAACACTTACCATAAGTCTGGAAAGATAGCACCCATACTTTAAAACAATTGAGCATTAATATAAAAAAAATGCTACACATGTAAAAAGGGGATGCTATCTTTCCAGACTTTACAGTACCCATTTATTCCATTTGGGTCAACAAATTCTTGGTTTCTTTTATTATATTTCTTTTATTAGGCATTTTTTTAATTTAATTTTATTATTATTATTGTTGTTGTTGTTGTTGTTGTTGTTGTTGTTGTTGTTGTATATTATTATTACAGTGCTGATCGTCTATATTCAAAATAAAAATTGACATTACTAAACCTGGTAAAAGTAAACAAAAAATAATTTTTAAAAAAATTCTAACCACTGATTTTCAAAATTAGTGGCTAGATTTCTTTTAACTTCAATTATTGACCAAGTTATGTAGCACCAAATTATATATAAAGATCCAAAAATGGGACTAAGTAAATCAGTGTAATGTCACATTTTTCAATTCATTTTCATCCATTTTTTATTTTTTAATTGCAAAGGAAGTGATCTACAAAAACTTTTTTGCTTCATGTTCATATTAGCAACCTGTCAATCTTAAACTTCAAAATGAGTATAACCAACTTTAATGTAAAACTTGCAGCATTGGTTCAATTTTACCCAATTTAATGTTATTTACATTAAAAATAAAACCCATCCTGAATTAAAGTGTTATCTGACAATGGTCATTGTTCAGAACTTATGACAATGATCACTCATTAGAAAGCATTGTATAATGTAGAAGTATGTCAATGGATTTTTTTGGAACCAGGAGAAGCAAAAACAACAATTGATTCCCATCATGTACAAGTATGTATTTATTTATTTTTTACAGTTATTATTTTATAGATTTCATATGCTATAAAATGATACATGAGATTAGGTTATGATGTGATAGAAGGCAAACATATTGTAACTGTAGCAAAAGGTATTCATGGTATCTCAGTAGCTAATATTGAACCATATAGAAATCTTGAAAGAAAAAAAAAACAACTTTACCTGGGATACCAAATTGATTCGAATTCCAGTGCTTGTTGAAGGCAAATATGCAGGATATCTTTGTTCTAATTCTTTAACAAATTTTGGAAAATAGAAACCCTTTTCTCCAGCTATTATTCAAAAAACAATGAATAACAGAAACACAAGAAAAACCTACCTCAAATTCTAAATGGATAATTTCAATGCCAAGCAATAGTATTAAATAGTATTTGAATATAAGAATTGATGTTTGATACTTGCTAATGATATAAAAAAATCACAGCCTCAAATCCTAGTCAGTGGTCTATTGATAAAATCAAAAAAAAAAAAGGAAAATATGATATAGTTGGCTTGGTCTAAAGACCTCCTAAATTTTGGGCAAATTTTAAAAGTATAGAAGTCATTTTCTGTCCTACCTTTTAAAAAAATAGCTCTATTAGTTGATAGAATATGTCTTTAGTTTTAATGTAATAGAGAGATTTTCTCAAAAAAATTATTTGTTGTAGAGTTCTATTCTTTTTTAAAACATGTACTTTACTATGCTCGCGAGGAATTTGTCCACTATGATTATTTCTAAATTTAGAAAAAATATTACCAAATTTAGACTAGTTCTTGACTATCGTATCTAAATTTGGCAGTAAGAAAACTAAAATCACGTGAAGTCCTATTTTTTGAAAAATTTTATTACATTTTTGAACAAATTACAAAATTGCTATTTATGAAATTTGGCCGCATGGCGCAGCATTAGGAGGTCTTTAGACCGAGCCAACCATATTTAAAATTTTCGATCATTTGGCTTTGCAACCACCAAAAGGTACCCAATAATATTATAAAGTCTAGTTTAGTATAGTACCAAAATAATCCGAGAAATAGAGAGAAATGTTTTCAAGCATTTAAAGAAAGTAAATATATTTTTTATTATTCATTTCTCATTAAACTTTTTTCTTGTTAAAACAATTCGACAATTAGTAGACCAGGTACATTTATAAACATTAATATTAATATAATTCTTACACTTGAAAAAACATTTTATAGTTCTACAGTACAAGGAATAATTGCAACATATTTGAATCTACTAGGCCAAAAGAAGGTATGGATATTATTATCTTCATCATAATAGTATGTTACTAGCTAATGGCGAGTATGTTGAATGAACAAATATCTTGTTAACAATGTAATGTATGAAATTCTTCATTAAGTGAAAAGAATTAATGGTGTGATTTTATGCTGCATAATCTAGGAAATGAATGTTAGAAGGCACAAAGTTCAACGCAAGGGATATACTTTTCCCCCTCAAGTTTGTCATTTAGAGATTATTTTGATATAGAGGTATTTGTGTTGCTTCAAACTATAGATGCATTTTTATGATGGTGGTAGAAGTTTTCAATCTAGCGTTTTGATGAATTGAACATATAAAATATTGCCAGTGGATTCTTATAAAATCATCCGATCACAGAAAAAAACCCATGATTATTTTTTAGAAATCAAGACATCATACTTGAGTTTATTTTTGTAACAGGAGTTTATCCTCCTTGAACCAGAATCAATGTCTCAATTTCCATTTCAACAATTGACCAAATTTCACGTTTAATGATTCAATTCATAATCTTTTCCCTGAACCAGCCCATTGTCAGGTTTACAGCCTTAGCATAAACCATTCAATATTGAGTAATTACTTTGAATGTTTTGGATAAATTCTGATAGTGAATGAAATGAATTTTTAATTGACTTTGTTTTGTTGTTCATCCTTTTGCTGGCATTCAGTTATCATTCTCTAGTCTATGTGTCTCAACAGGCCTTTATATTGTCACATATCAAATTACAAGTAAGAAGTATAGTCATTAATATGGCTATCATCACTAATTACTACAAAAATTTGGATGTTGTTGATTGATTTTGGAATCTGCTATATTCATTTCCATATTTATTATTAATTTATTTAAATAGTAAAACAATAAAGGTATTTAAAACAATATATATATTACAATAGCATTATAAAAATAGAAATATACAGTACCAGCTCTTGAATCACCACCAATCAATTAAAATATTCAATCGTTCCACATCTCTCTATACAAGTACTTCAAGCCTCATTCATTTTGGGTTTTGTATAACATAAAATCCCGCCTCTGGTGAAATTTTATTATAAAAAAATCAAAATGATGATTTAAAAAATAACACATTAAAACTATTTTTATATAAAAAAAAAAATACTAAATGACCTTTAATCATTGAAAATATTTTCATTTAAAAATTTTTTTTTTCGCCATCTCTCAAAATTCTATTATAATAACATAAAATGATTTAATTAAAGAACCACCTGTAAAAATCTCAAGGCAATTAAACAACTTTGATTTCAGTTTTAAGTATTAAAAGTGTACTTGCTACAAAACATTGTACTTGTTATATTACTTCAAATTCCAAATTCTTTTTCTATATTGTATAAGAAAAGTCATTCTTTATTTTTTTATTATCATGACATAAACTAATGGGTTATTTTTGAATTGCCCAAAAAAAAAGTGTGAAGTTTCTTGTTTTTGTAAAATTATTTAGATATGTCCCGAGGACCGACATATAATAATAAATAAATAATAAATTCTAATAAAATAAAACACATTAATAATAAAGTATTTATCTATTTTTCTATTTTAATAATGGTTTGGTCATATGAGCCAAGTTTTTATTGTACGATTCTATCACCACTATTAAATTCGTGCAACCCGTATTTGTCCGCTGATTATGAAAATTATATATATTAGAAAAATTTGAAATGTATAAAAAATTAGAGCAAGATAAAAATAGTAAGCAATATTAACATTAATATTGAATAATAAAAATACAGAAAATAGACTGTGGCATTTATCACTAAGACCCTGAAATTAATTTGCAAGTATACCCCATATAAAACGCGATTTTTTTCGTGAAACATTTATTTTCCTATTACGTTTCTATTTATTAATAAAAGGTTTGTTGATCTTGCATAAATTTATTTGTTGTGTACATATAGACATAAATTCCTATTTTTCATTCAAACGAACCCTTTAGAAAACTTTTTGTTTTTATAATATAATTAATAATAATGGTCGCGTAACAATTCTTTCTGGGTTGTACACTAATCCTTTTT